TGACACTAAAGCGCATCAAGATGCTGTCTCTATGACTGTTTCTATAACTTCCTCTTCTTTGTCTGCATTGTCCTATTGTGATTAAAGCTTATCTACGCCCCAAAAATTTATTCAAAAGCTTGTATCAAAATGCTGTAAAGCAGTAAAGACATAGCAAGGCAAAGAGTACTAAGCTTCTGCTAATTCTGGAATTTAAAAATAAAAGTACTGTTGCCTTTTGCCCTGCCTGAAAGTGCTGCTAATTTTCTTAACAGAGTTCAGTAGATGCTTTCAGAATAGAAGGCAAGCATTTGGATCACTTTCACTCCCATCAAAATCTGTTTAGATTATTGACATCCCCTTCAGCTCACCCTCAGGCCGGGATACAGAACTGAGATCACATTGATCATTCTTATGGATGACCTGGGGCTGGACCAAGATGGGAGAATGCAAGTCTTTTGGTCCTTCTTGATCTCTCAGCTGCCTTCAGTACCAAAACTTCATGTTTGTGATCTACATTTTAAGCAGGTCGTCTTCCACCACCAGTGTCTATGCTACACTAAAGACATGGCTTCCAAAAGTAGAGAAGGAGAAATAACTCACTGGTCCCTTGATATAAGATGGATTGTTACGACTGTGTTATTTCATGAAACAAAATAGCACAGCAGATGTGTGTTGATGGTTAACAGGTATTGTAAAGTTGGTATCAGAACAGATATTCAGATTAATTAAGCCATGCTATTTTCTAATATTTATAGTTCTGTAGTGGAAAATTAGTAAAAGCTAATCAATTCTATTCTTTCCTCAGAGTTACCCATTTGAATAATACATTTATTTGAAACATTTCATCTTGAAAATGCTGGTATAGATGAATAAAAAAACAAAGCTTAACTTTGTCTTTCCCTTTAAAAAGTGACTCTCCACAGATTCTGCTAAAAAAAGTCTTGAATTTTAGAAGAAAACAAAAGAAAAAGCTATAAAAGATCTGTAGCATTTCCATTACTATTTTCAGAGTCCCACTAAACATAAATCAAAGATTTGTTGGATGGTTGTTCCAAAGTCTGTTGAACACTAATTTCCTGATCTCCAGCTGTGTTTTTGAAAAAACATAAAATTAACAGCGCTTACAGTAGTTATTTTGTTCCTTTGCCCAGTTTACTACTAACTTCTCTTTCCCATTTTTGGCAAATGTTGGGTACCCCACTGATGGGTAAAAAACAGAGATGTAAGGTTCATATATAAGCAGCTATAATTCTTAACAAAACAGAGATTCTCAAGAGAGATGACTCAATATTCACAGATATCACTGTGGTTCCGACAATGGCAACAATCAACACAATTATTAATCTTGCCTCTACATGGTCTCTACTGTATATACCAACAACAGAATGAACCTGAGCAACTTTTCTGCACATGTAATGCCTAACACTTCAATACTCAAGTCACATGTCTTGTTCAACTCAATATGAGTTAAGCAGCTGTATAATTTGTGGAGTATGTCAAACTTTTCACCACTAAAAACTCAGCTGTATAAGCTTATCAGTGACTTCAAATTACATTTCCTTTTTCCCCTTGTTCCTTTTTCCTATTGTAAGCCTACATGAAATTATTATCTTTCATTTTTATCTGGGAGTATTTTTGAATTAAAGTAATGGAGAAAGGAGAACAGCAAAATGCAATTCTATTGCATAAGCAGACATCTGCTCAAATATCTGATGCGGGATCTAAACGTATACCCTATCCCCAGGTGGTGAGTTCTGCTCACAAGAGGACATACAGTATCATCTCCACTGTGATTGCATTTGAAGTATGGGGAGGAAAATAGAAGGAGCCATCATCTAACCCCAATTTATTTGTTTGTTTACTCTATCAATGTCCAAATGGACTCATGATGGCATGCAATAAAGCAAAAGAAAATTAATAGTAATATAAAAATATTAAAAATACTAATATTTAAAACCTTTAAACCATATCATAAATGGCCTCTGCCCATCCAATAAAATCAAGCAGGCAGGCTTGCTCCAACTCCCTTCACACAGGGACTGTCATCTACAGGGTTGAGCCTTCTCTGTAGCAGCCCTCCTTCTTTGGAAGTTTCCTCCCAAAATTAGACTAACCCACACCCTGTTGATATGTTTATGAAGATTCTCAGTCATCCAGGTGGAATTGTCTGGAGGTTGAGTCATGGCAACTGGACTTCTTTTCTTTTCCTTTTTGGTTAGAGACATTTCGCTACTTGTCCAAGCAGCTTCTTCACACCCTGCTCAGTTTTAGAACAGCAATAAATCCTTCACTCTTTAAGAAAGCCCTGGGAGGGGATGTAATGTAAGTTGGGAACCCCCATCCTGGGTTGTGTTTGGATATTTATTGGTCCTTTGCAATCACAGCATTTTTTTTTCCTTTTTTTTTTTTTTTTTTTGCTCCTCTTTCTATTATGGTTAGTTTTGCTAGTTTTGTAATTTTGTTTTATTGTTTTAATCTTATTGTAAGAATGGAATGAAAGGCACTCAAGAGTCCTGCTGGATTGGAGCAGCATATACACCCCAGAAAACAAAGAAAAAATAAGTATATTGATGGTAGATATTAAATTAATGCCCATCTGAATAGTTCTGTCATTTTTTCTAAAAGTCAGTAATGGAGCCACCTGGATTTCTGGTGGGAGACTGATCCTCAGGATAGGTGCCATTCACAAAAAGCAAGACTTTCTCTCTTTCCCTCAGATTTAATATGGGGGAAGAACACCAAGCTTTACGTCTTCAAAAAACTCTAATTAAAAGAGATGAGACCCACTCTCCGCTCCCCTTAAGTCTTCATTTAAGAATCTGTCTTCTGCCACCACCTAAGCATTTGTTTGGTAATGTAAATACCATTTTTGCCCCATTTGGGCCTAAAGCTCAAAGAAACCAAACCCAGTCCTTCTCTTTGTGATTCCTGGTGGGCACTTGAGCTGAATTTCCCATGACCTCCTCCTGCTCATTCTTTCTTTGATAATCAAGAATCTGCTCACCTTGAAGCCAGGGTTCTTTTGGATCCAGACCTTCCCCTGGATACAAAGTAAGTTTTCAAGAAGTTAGTGAAGCTGTTCTATTTGGCTGGTAGTTCCATCAGCCAGCATACATCGACCCTAAGATAGCTACAATGCTTGGGATGTGGCAAAAGACACAAATTGAAAAGAGGAACTCAATGACCAAGTCAAATATATGAGCAAGGGGCAGACAAGCAGCCACCAAGATGTCATCTGGAAACACAGCATGAGTGAATCTGGATAACCAGATTAAGTGCATATATAGGAGTGAAAAAATAAAAAGCAGAGCCAGAAATCAGTTGGTCTTCTTTGGCTATACACCTAGCAGGGGAGGTCTCAGTCTTTAAGAAAGTTGGAATCCTTTCCCTAACTTGGATGAAAATAGACAGACAGACAAAATATAATTATGGAGGTAGATACTTTGGTACCCTGAATTTCTGGACATCCTGGGGAAGTCTCCAAAGAGAGTGAAGAAAATGACTGTCAGTGGCATTCTACAAAAGCCTATCTATACTTCATCAAAAAATAAAACATACTGCTATAATATTTGAGTAATGCTACAATTCTTAAGATATCTGCAAGCCCCTGAACAACCATTAAAAAGGACTGACATACATTACTTTCATGAAGAACTGCACCTTTAAATCTAACCTGGCCCAGAGAAAGTTCTATTTTACCTGTGCTTTATGAAACAGCCAAATAGAAATGCTTCCAGGATATGTTTAATTATGTGTAATAGCTACCAAGAATAGTGTTCTATCTACACTTGATGTTCCAACTCAAAGTGATGTAGGTTATATTACATGTCCACATGGAAGTCAACTTTTGCTCTTGAGGGACCGATTAAAGTGATGTATCATGCTGTTTTACTGATTTGTTTTGGTTTACATAAGATTTACTGCATAATTAACAAACCCAACCTGTAATGATCAAAACCAGAAACAATGTTACTTGAATAGACTTCTCCCATAACAGGAATTCCCCTCCACTCATGCCCTGCAACTCCAGGTATGTTACCAATACCTCTTTTGGGGGCTGCAAGGGAGAAGGAAAAATTAATCTACCAACAGTATCTATTTTGCTGATGGAAAAGTACTATTTTTAAAAAGTTATGGGTTTCTTTGAGGGGGGTGTCTTTTTGTTTGGTGTCTTCAAGTCATTTTTGACTCCTGTTGACTATGTGGATAAGTCCACATAGTTCTATTGGCAACATTTTCAGAACTCGTTTACTAATGCCTTCCTAGGGCTGATAGAGAGTGACTGGCCCTAACTCAGGGTCTTAAGCTTTCATGCCTAAGATAGGGGGACTAGAACTTAGTCTCCCAGTTTCAAGTGCCTTTAACTACAATACCAAACTGGCTCTCTTAAAAAAATTGGACACCCTGAAATTAGGGAAATTGGTTTTCTGATTTTTACAGCTTTTTATCATTCAGAAGCATATCCAAAATCACCATTGTAAAAATAAATAAAATTATATTGCTAAAGTTGGGTTTTCAGTATCTCAAAATAACAATTTGGCCATCTAGTAAATGGCATAAAAAGCAATAACACCTGATACTCAACCAGCATAGTGAAGCAAAGAAAAAAAGAAAAGTACATATGGAATCTTGTCCAAAGTCACTATCAGGATGACTACCCCCCTTTCTTTTCCCAGCTTGTATATGTTACCATTAAGCAGAACTCCACTACAGAACTCCTCACTGTAGATCAAAATAAACAAAAAGTAAAGATTCCTCCAAGTCACACTCAACTCCTGCTGACCACATGGACACTTCTTTGCAGGTTTTTTTTTGGCAACCGTCAAAAAATGATTTGCCACTGCCTTCTTTTGAAATGTTCTGACTTCCCAGTCTAGCCTACAGTCTTGGAACTTCCTGGTGGTCCCCATCCAAGTATTAACCAAGTCCAACCCCACTTAACTTTCTTCAAACACAGCTAAGGTTAGCTTGGTGCTAGAGCAAAAGAAACAAGTATACAAACACCACAAACTACATACCTCTTCTAAGCTATGCAGCGAAGAAGCAGATACTGCTCGTGAAGTGAGGGGGTGAAATGGTTCCTGACCAACCGCGTGCTGATGATTTTGTATTTGTATAAAAGGGTTCGGTTGTGATCTATGAGGCAATGGAGGTATACCATAATGAAAGCCTTGCCCCATGAGATGACTCTGGTGTAAATTAGCATAGGTCCATGATCCATCTGGCTGCAGATATTTCAAGGAAGGTGGGGTTATGTGTTCAGATGGCACTGAGAAAGGGGGATTGTACATTTGAGGCAAATGCTGCTGAAATGCTGGATTGTTAGATATTTCAACGTCTCTACTCTCAGAGAAGTTAGGAAAGTGGCCGCTGTGGTTTGAGTTGCATGTAGGAGAGGGGAGTGCTGGTGGACTTCTGGGCTGCACTTGTCTGTATTGCAAAAGTCTTGATTGAGGTGGCGGCATTTCAACGAGGTCCCTGTTTTCAGTTTGATCACGGTGTGAGAGCTCTCGAAGCAAATCCTGGAATCTGTATTAATAAGATAATGATTGTTCAAGTGAAATAAAATATCATCCAATTAAAAAGTAATATTACAAGAATAACACCACACACTCTTTTAAAATGCATTTATCCAAGCAACCGTGCTGTGCATATACTTCACAGAAAGTAGATATCTCAAGAGTGAAATTACCAAATGTTTTTTAAATTACAAATGTCAAGAAAGAGTTGTAATGTGTGTGGATGGTGTGTGTGTGTCCGTGCATGCACTTGTGCGTGCACACTCGTAAAAAAAAGTATTAGCATCTGTAAACATAGTAAGTGATCAACCAGAAATATAGCAGCAAAAATAAAACAAAACAATTCAGCAGATAGCGAACCTGGATTTAACAGACCAAATGGCAGACCTAATGGGGTATTACTCCTAAATACCCATTAAATCAAAAATCATGTCATTCATGGCTATTTATGTCATTTGTGTAATGATGGCATTATGCCAATAACATAAATTGATGTGAATAGTTAAAAGTTAACATAAATTTAACTCCCTCATCCAGACTACTTTGGATGCAACAGACTTATCCATTATTGGCAGGGGTGGGGGGCGGGGCTTGGAATCCAGGGAGAAATCTTGTCTGCTGAATCCAAGGTTCACTAAATGAGGTTCCATTAAATCAAAGTTTCACTGTAAATGCAAAATGTACACACAATGGCAAAAAGCAGTATTTTTAGGATAGTAAAAATGTTCCATAATTGAAGTTTCATGTAACTGCAAGTGCAATTATGCTGTTTTAAGTCCCCTCTCTGAAATGTAGAAAGGTACCAGGGTTATTTTTTCCATGTGGTAAAAAGTGATTTTTTAAAGTATATAAACAAATTAATTTAATATTGATGGAAATAATCACAGAATGATTGAACCCAGTATGTTTTTTTAAAAAAAACAACATGGAACTAGGTCGCAAATCATGTACTCAAATGGAAAATAATCCTAGGATGACAACCAAGATATATAGCGTGTGTAACAGAATGAGTGCTCCCCACATCATGATGCTCATGAGGAGACCCAAACACTTTGAAAAGGGTTATGTCTATCTGGCTCATTTGGATGCTAGTTCCTTTAAGACATGGGGGACCAACTTGCAGCTCCTGATTCCCCTTTTGTGGCCCCACGGCCATGATTACTGGGATGGCATAGCTTCCATTTTCAGGTAAGAAACACACAAACATTGCAATATAAGCCCTAAAGTAGGCATAACA